ACCTATTATACTTTTCAAAACCATGTGAATGACTTTGTGCTTATATTCCAGTAATGACCCTGAGAGGGCCGCCTCTTTCCCTGTTTCCTCAAGTTTCATATTTACAGTGAGAAACCTGTGGGTAATTCTCAAATCAATAGATAGATGCAAATATATGCAAATCAGCAAACAGTGGCACAGATTCCGTTTGCAGAGAATGGATACACGCTTTGGAATTTCAGTTTGTGCCTCAGGATGTGACGGTTGTGAAGATGGTCTTTCTTTGAGACCACCATGGTGTCTAAAAGGAAGTGAACAGGATTTGTTGTTGTTATTATGTGCCATAGAGTCGGATCCGACTCATAGCGACCCCTCCTTGGGTTTCTGAGATGGTATCACTACGGAAGTAGATTGCCCAACCTTCCTTCTGAGGAGTGGCTTTGAACCGCCAGCCTTCTGGTTAGCAGTCAAGTGCCTTAGGCACTATACTACTAGAGCTCCTGAATAGAATTTAGGATGCGGAATAAGAAACATTATACTAATGCTGCTCACTGGTTGTGCACAATCCCTGACTATACAGTGGACTAGAGCCTAAACCCTAAAGCACTTGGTTCGCGGAAGGCTGGGGGTCTACCGGAGGAGCCCTAATGCCATTTTGAGTTCCGATATAAGTTCAGATGCCATTTGAATTCTTTATGTTACTTCCCCAAAGCCTGCTGACTATCTAACCAACAATATGGCTATGCTTAGACAAGTCTGGGATAGGCCCAGGGAGTGGCAGTTTGCCCTCAGGAAGATTATGGGTGAAAGTCGATTAACTGGTATGCAGAAAGATGCTCACACCAAGAACTAGGAAACTTGCCTTGGCATTTGCCAAAAGTAGCCATTTTGACTCATGTTATTGACTGAAGTGAAAGGTTGGGGTCCTAGTGCTGTTTTGTAACCATCTTGTGGCTATGACTCAGGGTTACGTGATCATTAGTCATATCCCAACCATCTGGTAAAAACCCCAGAACCAATCCTGTAACCTTTTGCACCTGCAATTATGTTCACATTCCAGTCGTGGTCCTTTCCCAGCTTCTACGGTCCCGCCTGCAACTGACGGGCTGACCTGTCACAAATCGTGGTTTTGTGATGATTTCCTTTCTTCTCTGTTGCACGTAATGAATACCATGATTGTGATTCAGCGGATTCCATTGGCCTTTGTGACGGGTACATGCTGACAGTTTCTCTCATCTGATGACATCATTCATTCATTCATTCGTTCATTTGTCTTTGTCCTGTTTAAGAATCTGGGACAGGTTCTGCTGAACTTCTTGGCTAGAGAGGGAAACACCCATACAGCTTCCCAATTCTGCCAGGTTGGGATACAAACTGGAGGCTGGGGAACAGCTGCTCCCTGGACTGGCAGGGCAGGCATCTTGGGTGAGGCTCTGGCCTGGGCCTGAACGGCCTGGTCTACCTTCAGGTCCTCCAGAGATGGGTACAGGTGGATATGGCTATTCCTTGGGACCCTTGCAGAGCCACAGAGAGTGAAAAGAGGGTAGGAGGCTTGCAATCCCTAGAGAGAAGGCAGGGCATGCACCTCCTGCCACTTGTACCACTGAACACCTGCAGGCCAGGTTCTGCCAACGTCCTCTGTCCTCCGGCCAATGCTGAGAATGTTCTTCCCTGAGCAGGTGGTGGCCCTTGTTTTCCCAGCTGGAGTTTCTGCAGTTAACTGCCTGCTCTGGGCAGGGTGGTTCCGGCCCCCTGGTTGGCTGACACCTTGAATAGGCGGGCAGCCCAGGTTAAAGCCTGTGGTTGGGTGAACAGGCAGGCAGGCCACCAGGAAAAAAAAGATTTAACAAGAGCCTCAGTAGAACATGTTTGAATCTGGGGTCATCTTCTTCTAACACAACAGGCAGGAGAGATGTGTCCTTCCCTCTCGTACACCCTCCAGCCCTGCACTCCATCTGTCTCCCTGTGCAAACACTGACCATCTGTTCTCCCATGATTGATTAATCGCTCCCAGAAGTGTATCTATCTGATGTAAATCTTCATCTCATATGCCTGTCTATTGTTTGGCTGGAAGCCACAGGAGTGAGTTTAGTTCCATACCTGAAGGGAAACTAGGGGCTATAGTCTCAGGGGTCCCACCCACCAGGCTCTATCAGATTTGCAAACCTGGTCTTTTATGATTTTGAGTTTTGTTCCACATTATTCTCCCACTTTATCCAAGATCTCCTGCACCGATTCCCTTCAGAGTGGTTGACGGTGGCAGCTGGGCACCTAGTTTTTCTGGTCGCATGGGCATATTGGCTGAGGATCGCATGGTCTACCAGTCCCTTGAACTGTTTCCACGCGTCTTTGGTTTTCTTCATTCTTCTTTGCTCTAGATGAGCAATGAAGCAGCTTCTAGATGGCTGCTTGCAAGCTTCTAAGACCCCAGTCGCTACTCACCAAAGTAGGATGGAGCACAATGTGCCAACTGAGCTTGATGTCCCCTGCAACCACGGTCTGGAGCCCCCAGGTCCAACTGCTCACTGCCTCAGGCTGGTTGACTGTGGCCAAGAAGCCACCACAAGGTTGCCCCTTGTGAGCTCTACTACACACCCATTCTTACAGAACATACAAATACTCATGTAGAAGCATTGTCTGCCAACCCCATATGTAGCCATGGGTGCACTCCCCCACCGGTGGGTTCTGCAGTCCCTTCAGACTTCATTCCAGAGTCTTAATGAGATGCCTCCAACCGCGGCCTATGGAGACCCAGAAACTACATCTCCCAGAACTCTGTGCGACTAACACCAGCTGCTCAAGGCAAAGGGAGCCCAGGCAAGGCTTTTCCGCGCGTGCGCATGCCTACAAGGCGGGCCTTCCGGCGTAGTCCTTGTGATTTTTGGCAGGTCTTCAGTGTACGGTCCACAGGTGGGAAATAACCGGGAAGTGACATGGGGACTCGTGGCCCCGATCACACTCAGAGACGGATCTGAGGTTGGCAGCGGCGCCTTTCGGAGTGACCTACGCCACTGACTCCGACCTACGGCCCCATCTCCGCCCAGCGCCCAGGCTCCATGGCGGTCCCCGCGCTGAGCGTCCCGGCTCAGGTCAGTGAGCGACCTCCAGGCCTCCCGCCCTGACGCGCCTTTCCCAGCCCTAGAGCCCCAAACGGGGCGCCTGTTCACAGCCCTGCAGCCCAGGCCCTGTTCCTGCCAAAGGGGAAACAAGTGTGATGAGGGTTCGCGGAGCCCCCGCGGAGGGACCGCAGGGCCAAGGCTGCAGGTGCGACTGAGCGGGAGCAACGGGGAACCCGGGCGCCTCGCGCGTCTGCAGGCAGCAGAGAGTTAGGAGTCACGCCTGGCCGGGAGTTGTGTCCTCATTCTGAGGAAGCTGGGAGCCATGGAAGGTGGTGGACGAGAAGGGGCTGGTAAAAAACGCTGCTCGGGAAAAACCTACTGCAAAAGGATGAAGACAGTGAGGCTGCTGGAGGCTAAGTCCTTCTGTAAGGTCACACAGCTGGTAACGGGAGGACTGAGCACCAGACATGTATAGTGCATTGATGGCGGGTCACCAGGCTCCAAGGCTGGACATGGCCACAGGGAAGTCTGAGCCTGCTGATGACATCTCCCTCCTCCCACACTGTCCATGGTGGCGGAGGTGTGTATGGACCCTACACAGGTGAGTGGACTTGTGTCTACTTCCTCAGGACACTGAGAGCCATCGAGAGGGAGATGGTAACAAAAAAGGCTGTTAGAGGAAGAACAGACTAGATGGGGGATGATGACAGGGAGTCATGGAGAGGTTGAGTCCTTCTCTGAGGTAAAAACAACACTGAGATTTGAGGACCTGAGAAAAAGCAGCGATTCCCAAGGTCACCTGTCCCCTGGGCATAGGGATTACAGGGAGGCCTCAGGCCCTGGAATCTGGCCATGGTCAACTGCTCTCATATCTCCTCCTCTCAACAGCTTCCTGTGGTTGGTGAAGTGGGTAAGGACCTTACACAGTAGGGGAGTCCCAGAGCCCTGTTGCTCTATAACTCACCCTTGTGGCCTCTGGGTTTATGCTACCTTGGAACTCTTCACCTCCCACTCATCTAGCCCTTGAACTTGGGGACCCTGACCACACCCCAAGCCTAGGGTACTAATTAAGTTCAAGTGAGGGGGTCAGTGGAGTGATTGCTGTTGTTGGTGACCAGTGGAATGAAACGTGGAAGGTTGTCCGAGGCGTAGGTACTAGTATGTGCAAATGCTTGGAGCTGAGCTGAGGTGTTCAGTGAACCACAGTTCACCATTCTTTCTCATGGGAACAGAAAGCAATGGGTAGGAGTCAGACTTGGAATGGCTTCCTGTGAAGTTAAGCATCTATTCTGGAGGTGATGTGAGCAGTGGGAGTTTGGAGCAGGGAGATCTGACCCAGGGTGTATTCAGGGTCCCCAGGATCAAGGGCTGGAAGAGTGTCAGCTTTCCTGTGACTACAGCACAGAGACCAGACTGAGTGTGAGGGGGGTGGTAGGGAGACCAGAGAGACTACTGCAGTAGTCCAGGTACATGTTGATGATAGTTGGACCAGTGTGGTGGCTGTGGTGGTGGGAGATATGGATGGATTCTGGTTCTCTTTTCAAAGACTTGACTGTGTTTTCTGATTCTGACTGTGGCAGAACAAAGGTAGGAGTTAGGGATAACTCCACAGTTTGTAGCTTCTACGCTGGAAAGGTGGAAGGCTCATTGACTTTGAGGAGGTGGTAGTAGAAATCATTTTGATTGGGGGTCTTACGTGTTTCCTTTTGTCCATGGTGAGCACAAGATCTTAAGAGAACAATGAGTGGAAGTATCAAGTAGGAAGGTAGACACACAGGTCCGGACCTCTAGGAAGAGATTCAGGATGGAGACATCTCCAAAAGGTGGTGGATAGTGTGTAGACTAGGTGGAGTTGGGAGTCACACCTGTTAACAAGAACCTGTCATGGTGGCAGTGCTCATAGCTGCTGCGAAGAAGGTTGTGTCTGAGGAACAGAACTCTTGGCAGGGCTGCCGGTGAGGTTAATGTGAGCCACACACTCAGGTGAGGGAGAGAAGTTGCCATGGAAAGATTGTGGGCGAGAAGATGACCAGATGGCGGGGGGGCCTAGGTTTCTAGAAGATGAGTGGACCTGAGATGGATGTGGAGGCACAAGAGTAATAGAGGCAAGATGACAGTGAGTTTGCAGCTTGGTCATATTCACCTCTCTGTGGACCCCCCAGGATTTTGTTGTGACCCTTAATGGGATCTGTTTTAGTCTGGCTGGTCGATTACCTCAAGTGGTCAATTGTAGAGACATTGGGCCTGAAGTGGGGGGCCACTGTAGCCTGGTTTTGAAGAAGGCTTAGTTGGAGAGAGGAAGGTTTTGACTGGTGAGGGTCAGCAAGTGGAGGGCCATATGTGTTTAAGATCCACAGGAAGTTCTGGTTGGCTGAGGTTGAACAAGGAACAGTGTCAGGGTAGAAGGCCTTCACAGCAGGATTTGGGGTGCCCCAGGCAATGGACACTGTTGGCGGTCTGAGGAAGCAGTGCCCAGCCCTCTCTGGATGCCATGTGGATAGTAACACGTGCAGTTGGTGGTAGGAGTAATTCTGATTGGAGATCTTAGGTGCGGAGATCAGGGAGATGCTGTGATGTAGGGAAATAGGGCAGGAGGCTGTGGGAGTGCAGAGTGGGAGAGACTGTGGGACAAAGAGTGGAGTGCCTATGGAGAAGAGTGTGAACTGATGGTCCCAGGACCCTTGGTTGGAGACTCAAGACTGAAGGTAAGCCTATATTTGGTTGTGTCTTGGAGGCATGATCTCGGAGACCCCAGGGAACTGGACAAAAGGGTCACACATGACCCTGCATGCCAAGCCTACAGCTTGGATGTCATTTCTCTTGCCACCTGCCTTTTGTTGGCTGGCACAGTGAGCAATGGGACCATGAAGGAAGAGCAAGTGTCATTAGCACCAAGCCTTGGCATCTCCTGTGAGTTGGGGGTTAGGGAAGAGGGTGAGCAGGGGATCATTATGTGGGAGATATATGAAATCTGAAGAGAGAAACTAATCATGGAATGAACTGTTGTCCCTATCATGGCAGGGCTGTGTCACCTTTGAGGATGTGGCCATTGACTTCTCCCAGGAGGAGTGGGGGCTCCTTAATGAGGTTCAGAGGATGCTGTACAGCGATGTGATGCTGGAGAACTTTACAATCATAGCATCATTGGGTAAGACCCTCACACTCATCCTAGTATGCCAAGCTGGTTTTTGCCTTCCTTCTGTTCCCCACAGACAGCCGAGCCACGGGTTTGCTAACTCACAGCCTGTCTTGGCATATGTGCTGTGGGCGCCAGTGGTGAACTAGATACTACCTTGAATATATACTCCTTCAGAATCCCTAACACCTGCTTCTCCAAGCATGTAGGGAAGAGTCAAGAAGTCAGGAGTCTTGCGTTCAGCCCAGTGGTCCCATCCTGACTGCCTGCTTCCTGCCTAGGTGACGTGTCCACATGCACACCATCGCTGCGCCCAGGTTCTGCCCATCCCTCTCAGTGACATTTCCTCCTGCCTGACTGCGCCATGAGTTACAGCCATTGTCATGGTCATGATGTACATGGACTAAGGACTGTTCTGACATGAACTTCTTTCCATATTACTAGTAGTTTTTGTCTTGTGGTCAGTTTTATGCTGAGTTGCTCTGGGCCAGTGCCGGCCACACTGCTGTCCTGTCTTCTTTTACGACTTTTTTTTTTTTTAATTGTGATTTGGGTGAAAGTTTGCAGAGCAAATTCATTTTCTGTACAGCAGTTCACATATTTTGTCTCATGACATTGACTGCAATTTTCCACAATGCAACAGCTCCCCTTCTACTTCTTCCCCATAGTTACCCCTTCCCTCCCATGCACTCCTGCCCCTTGAACTGTCTCCTTCTGCCTAAAGCTCTTCTTTTCTCCCATGATTGATCTCTCCAAGGAGACAGGCCCTATTCTAGAGGCAGGAAAAAAAGGGAACGCTGGGGATGAAAAAGCCACAGGATCCAGGTTAAGGGTAGGGAGATGAGCCCCACCCGAGAGAAAGGAAAAGGAAGGAATGCCAGGGACAGCAGAGCAGCAGGATCCAGGTAGGATCCAGGTAAGGGGAAAGTGGAGAGGTTTTAAACAGCTAAGGGAGACAAACTTGTCTGTCAATTTGTCATACTTTGTGGCTTGTGTGTTGCTGTGAGGCTTGAGGCTGTACCACCGGTATTTCAAATGCCAGCAGGGTTGCACATGGTGCACAGGTTTCAACACAGCTTACAGACTGAAACAGACTAGGAAGAAGGAAGGGGCCATCTACTCCTCAAAGAACTGGCCCAGGAAAACCTTGTGAATAGCAGAGAAACACTGTCTGATACATTACTGGGCAGCTTTATGAATAGCCCGAAAACACTGTCTGATACAGTTCAGGAAAACGAGCCCCTCAGATCAGAAGGCACTCAAAATATGACTGGGAAAGAGCTGCCTCATCAGAGTAGAACCAACCTTACTGATAGGGATAAAGTAAAGCTTTGGGACTTCGATTTACTGACATAGCATGACTCAAATTGAAGAGAATCAGCTGCAAACAATCGTTAATAATCAGAACATGGAATGTACGAAGTATGAATCTAGGAAAATTGGAAGCTGTCAAAAATGAAATGGAACACATATTCTACCAAACATTCAGAGAAGAACTGACACCAATCCTACTCAAACTATTCCAAAACATAACAAAAAGATGGACTCCTTTCTAATTCATTTTATGAAACAAGCATAACGTTGATACCAAAACCAGGCAAAGACGTCACTCAAAAGGAAAACTACAGACCAATATCCCTCATGAAATTAGATGAAAAAATCTTCCACAAAATCCTAACCAATAAATTCCAACAACACATCAAGAAAATCATTCATTATGACCAAGTGGGTTTCATATCAGGTATGCAAGGCTGCTTCAACATTAGAAAAACAATCAACATCCTTCACCACATAAATAAAACAAAGAAACAGAATCACATGATCATACCAATTGATGCAGAAAAAGCATCTAATAAAATCCAACACCCATTCTTCATCAAAACTCTCAACAAAATAGGAATAGAAGGGACACTCCTAAACATAATAAAGGGCATCTATGCAAAACCAACAGCCAACATTATTCTTAACGGAAAGGGAAACCATTCCCCTTGCAAAGAGGAACCAGACAAGAATGCCCTCTATAACCACTTCTATTCAACATTGTACTGGAAGTCCTAGCCAGGGCAGTAAGGCAAGAAAGGGAAATCAAAGGCATCCAAATTCGTAAGGAAGAAGTCAAACTATCCCTATTTGCTGATGATATGATCCTATGCCTAGAAAACCCAAGAGACTCAGTCAAAAATCTACAGGAACTAATGGAGAGATTTAGCATCGTGGCAGGATACAAGATCAGCATCCAAAAATCAGTTGGATTCCTCTACAGCAGCAAAGAGATTGCTGAAAAAGAAATGTTGTTGTTGTTGTTATATGCCGTCGAGTCATCAATACCGTTTACAATAGCTTACCAAAAATATAAAATACCTGGGAATAAATCTTACCAGGGACACAAAAGACCTATACAAAGAAAGGTATAAAAAACTACTTCAAGAAACCATAAGAGATCTACATAAATGGAACAACACACCATGCTCATGCATAGGAAGATTGAACATTGTGAAAATGTCAATTCTAGCCAAAGCAATCTATACATTCAATACAATCCCAATCCAGATCTCTCATCAACATTTTTTAAGGATGTGGAAAAAAACAATCACTAACTTTATATGGAAAGGAAAGAGAGCCTGGATAAGCAAAGCACTATTGAAGAAGAACAACAAAGTAGGAGGTCTCACACTGCCGATCTCAAAACCTCATATATAGTCACAGTAGTCAAAACTGCCTAGTATTGGTACAGTAACAGACACATAGACCAATGGAATAGAATTGAGAACCTAGAAATAGATCCATCAGCTTATGGTCAGCTGATCTTTGACAAAGGGCCTAAATCCATTAAATGGGGAAGAGACTGTTTCTTTAATAAATGGTGCTGGCAAAACTGGATGTCAATTTGTAGAAAAATGAAACAAGATCTGTACCTCACCCCATAAACAAAAACTAACTCCAGATGGATCAAAGACTTCAATGTAAAACCTAAAACTATAGAGTTCCTCAAGGAAAAAGTAGGGGCAAATTTAGGGGCCCTAATATATGGCATAAATATACTATCAAACATAACCCAAAATACACAAACAACAGCAGAGAAACTAGATGAATGGGACCTTCTAAAAATAAAATTTTTATGTACTTCTAAAGACTTCTCCAAGAGACCCAAGAGAATCTACAGATTGGGAAACAATATTCAGCAATGACATATCTGACAAGGGACTTATCTCTAGAATTTATAGAAAACTACAACACCTCAATAACAAAAAGACAAATAATCC